CGAGGAATGCCATGACAGATGATGTCGATGAATTCGTCCTGGTTCAACTGTTGATTGACACCGAAAGGTGGCAAACGTGGAAGCTCATCGGTGTTCATCCGAGTGAGGTTGTTGATGTAGGCGCGAGTTGTCATCTCGCTAGGCTTACGCATCTTGCGACGCATGAAGCGTTTCTGTTTTTCGAGAGCCTTGTAAGGACAGGCTGCTTCGATAACCGCGTTGATTCCAACGGTGATGTCCTCATCGCTTAGAGCGGGTTCCGCTGCACCGTCCCATGCGGCTTGAACACGAGCTTGGAATTGGACTTCGGTTTCTCCAGAACCCACGTCGCGTGGAGCAACTGCGTTTACAGCAATTTGTCGTAGGGTGTGGTGACGCACGGCACGATGGCCTGCACACCCAGCTTCGTAGGCACTCTTCGCAGAGCTGGAAGTCATCTCCTTGAGAAGGCGATGTTTGTCGTCGGCATTGGCAAGGTTGAGTCCAACGAAGACCTTCTCCATATTCGTAGCCCACTTGATGGTCTGACGCGGAGTGTTGGAACCATTGATAATGGCTACCTTGAAGGTATATTTGGCACTGTTTGCATCTGCAGGAACGGTGCGAAGTTTGTAGGTGGTTGCACGAGTATCGTCGATCTCGGCTTCTTCGTCGTTGTCCACGAGAGGAAGAATGGGTTTGTCACGCAACTGTTTCTCGAAGTTGGTGAACGCATGCTTTCCTTGAGCAATCTTCATGGTGAAGGAATAGGTTGAGGGTAGCTGAAAGCTATTGTGTTTGTTAACAAAATGCACTACGCTAAAAGCTAGTGTAAAGATCTTTCGAGTGTTTTGAGTTTGAGAGAATGAAAGTTATGAGAGAGATTAGAAAGCTACGAAAACTAATCCATGAGAGAGATCGTTGTGAAGCTCATTGAAGTTGGTCTCCCGCGGGAGGCCTCGAAGTGTGATATCGTAGGTTATGGTAATAACTCTACGTACTCCACGGTCCATTTCCGGAACACGTGGAAACTTCAGCTAGTAGCTGTCTAGTAGCGTGGAAGCTTTCCACGCCGGCTAAATATCTAGAGCAATGTTTCATCGACAACCTATTATGACTAGCAGTCATGAGAACCCTGTCTCAATGACTATTCGCGAAGGACTACGTCATGAGTCGAACTCAAACCCTATCTAGGATCGAGTCGCGAATAAGGCTAAGAGCCGTGTATTGCACGACAAAAACTCAACACTAGGAGCTCTACGGAGGCGGAATTGGTCGCGGTTGACGATCTAATGCCTCAAGTGTTATGGACACGTAGGTTCCTAGAATCACAAGGGTACGACATCTGCGATAATGTGGTATACCAAGACAACCAGAGTGCCATCCTTCTGGAAAAGAATGCCAAAGCATCCAGTGGAAAGCGCACCAAACACATCGATATTCGATACTTCTTCGTATCTGACAGGGTACGTAAGGGTGACGTTACCGTCGAGTACTGCCCGACAACAAAGATGGTGGCTGACTTCTTCACCAAGCCACTGCAAGGGAGTCTGTTCATCCGAATGCGAGACATCATCCTCGGAACAACAACAACCAATGACGCCGATCGCTAGATGAGAACCTCATCAGGATCACAGGAATGTGTTGGATAGGGTTATGGGTTCCAGGATAGGAGGACAGACTCACAATCTAGTTCATCACCCACCATTGGTATGGGTGATTATAATCTTTATAGACTCTGGTTTTGTATGCAATTCAACCTTCCTAGTAGACCAAGTCTTTATCTAGTTACCTGAAGGGTACTTGGAAAACTTGGAGAAGCTAATTAATTCAACATGGATAAGCCCCTGTGGATGCTCTGCTACAAGGCAGTGAAGCTGGCCGCGTCTCCAGTATTGTAGGGTTAGCATTTAGAAAGGGTATGTACAGTGGTACAGTCTAAAAACTAATCTATGGTGAGTGCAGGAATGGAATCAAATGGGGGCTGTGGGCTCACCAAAGATAGTACGTCTGCACTTTGAAATTCAGTTTGCCTAACTAGACAAGCCAGTAACTGTGTCAACTGATGTAGCCTAAGTAACTCTGGTCTCATTGATATTTATTTTACATGGTAAAGCTCTATAGTTAAAGAGTACAAAAAAATGTTATTCTTGTAAGGGACGCATGACTCAGACAGAGCTGGGCTCAAAATGGGCTACGGTCTCAGAATGGAGTTCAATCTTGGCAGATAGTGATTCAGCTCTAGCTAGCTAGCTAGCTGCTTGCAACAGAAGACGTACAAGAAATAGAATGATAGCAAGCAAACAGCATTGCTATTAGTTGAGACAAATAATAGTATTGTTCACTTGCATGCATGTTATGTATGCATTGGCAATGGTAGCACTAGCTTGTAGCTGCTCAGCTGAGCCAAAGAATCAAGCAGAAGGAGTACGTAACAGCAACAGCACAAAAGCCGCAAGGGTACTTGAGAAAGCTCTCTAATTCTTTCTGCAAAAAAGACTTATAGACAGTATGTGGCAAAAGTAACATACCTCAACCAGGCAACCCTCTCAAACACAAGATGTACTGCAAACACAACCTCCTCCAGGAACCCAACTAGCAACCTCAGACCTGGTTGAGACCGCCTAGACCAGTCTGACGCTCACCTGATTGAGCTAACTCATCATTGAAGTTTGTTGCATAGTAACTAAACTGTAGACCCAAAACAGCCACACTACCTGCCCCAACAAGGCTCGGTCAACAGAAACCAGCATCAATCAATCATGGCAGGTACCTGGTACCATACCAAGAACAATAATCATAGAAGCAGTGCTAGTAATGTCCCAATATGCTACTACTTTACTTCTACCTATAAATCAAGATCATTTTCGGTGCGCTTGCGCTTCTTACTGTCTGCTACAAATGGAGATGGTGGAACCATTTTGTTGGCTGCCAGCTGAGAGTTGCTTTTACACATGTTTTCCAACAATTTGGTTTGATTTTCCAGTTGCTTAGTTTGTTGCTCTTGTAGTTGTCTCATTTGTTGATTATGAATTTGAACTTCTCGGAGTAGCTGGGATTGTAATTGCAAAAGCTGATTGACAAAAAAGTTGATTTCGGCTTTATGATTCATGGCTTGACGGCCGATTCGATGCGAAATGGGAACTTGTTGTTGTTGGTCCAGTCGAATTCGAATATGATGCAATAGTGCTGTCTGGTTATCCAGTGTAGATTGTTGCCCCCCAACCGCAGAACATATTTTCTTACATTCCTCCTCAATGTAGAACAAGGACCGATCCAATGGTGTGCGAGGAGAGATCACCAGAGATGGGAGAGACGATGCTTGTAGTTGGCCCATTCGAATTCGAATATGGTGCAACAATGCTGTCTGATTATCGAGTGTACCTTGCTGAGCCACAACAGCAGAATATATTTTTTGGCATTCCTCGATGCATGGATGATCGGTGGATGCTGGAGAAGGAGATGCCACCACAGATGCCAGTGCTGGGAAGGTCAATAAGGATTGGAAAGATCGAATGCTGTCAAAATCATTAGCATTGATAATCAATGGTGAATTCAGAATAGGACGAGCAGCACCGGAGGGGAGAGAATCTCGTTCTGGTTGGGAGGCTATGTGGTGGTAATTGCAGCTATTGCTAGTATGGTGCGATAGTCAGTATAAGAATCTTGGCTTTAATTTTGAGCCGATGAGCTGACAGTTGTTGCATGATGGCTGATTGAATGCTTGTACTGGAAGAGTTTCAAGAGAGATCTGCTCTTGTTGCCAATACGTCAAAGGAATGCAGCAAGACAAATGCAGCACGTCAAAGGAATGGCAGCTTTTTTAAAAAATGTGAGAGATCTATGGTAAGAGCCAGCCATTGGAGACTTTGTTAATTAAAAATATTTTTATAGTGATTCAGTACAGTCTCATCTGAGATCAGGATTGGTCTCAAACCCCCAATATGGACGCAGGTACAGGAGTTATGGTACGGTACCAGCGGTACGGCTGTAAAAGGACCGACGGAAGCAGCGAGACTCGACTGAGCTCCCACAGTGCTGCAGCTTCCCACGCTCCACGGCAAACACGCGGATACAGGGCGACCCGGAAAGTGACACGAATGGATGATGTAACCATTTAGGGTTAGGGTTAGGGTTAGGGTTAAGGTCCAGTCGAATTCGAATATGATGCAATAGTGCTGTCTGGTTATCCAGTGTAGATTGTTGCCCCCCAACCGCAGAACATATTTTCTTACATTCCTCCTCACTGTAGAACAAGGACCGATCCAATGGTGTGCGAGGAGAGATCACCAGAGATGGGAGAGACGATGCTTGTAGTTGGCCCATTCGAATTCGAATATGGTGCAACAATGCTGTCTGATTATCGAGTGTACCTTGCTGAGCCACAACAGCAGAATATATCTTTTGGCATTCCTCAATGCATGGATGATCGGTGGATGCTGGAGAAGGAGATGCCACCACAGATGCCAGTGCTGGGAAGGTCAATAAGGATTGGAAAGATCGAATGCTGTCAAAATCATTAGCATTGATAATCAATGGTGAATTCATAATAGGACGAGCAGCACCGGAGGGGAGAGAATCTCGTTCTGGTTGGGAGGCTATGTGGTGGTAATTGCAGCTATTGCTAGTATGGTGCGATAGTCAGTATAAGAATCTTGGCTTTAATTTTGTGCCGATGAGCTGACAGTTGTTGCATGATGGCTGATTGAATGCTTATACTGGAAGAGTTTCAAGAGAGATCTGCTCTTGTTGCCAATACGTCAAAGGAATGCAGCAAGACAAATGCAGCACGTCAAAGGAATGGCAGCTTTTTTAAAAAATGTGAGAGATCTATGGTAAGAGCCAGCCATTGGAGACTTTGTTAATTAAAAATATTTTTATAGTGATTCAGTACAGTCTCATCTGAGATCAGGATTGGTCTCAAACCCCCAATATGGACTCAGGTACAGGAGTTACGGTGTTGGAGGAAATATACCTGACACCTCTTTACTATTGACTCGTGTATTAATTATCTAGTCCGGTTCGCATGCATATTCATGATGCAAGGAACCAAGGGAGTTTTAGGTCTAAAGTGTTACGGGGGTCCTTATATCCAATTCAATCACAAGAATTGCTATGCACCACCAGAAAAACCTCACTTTTGCTTTTCAGCTTAATCTAAAACCAAATTACTCCCCAATAAGCTGCAGTATTACGAGCAAACAACACTGAAAAGCAAAAGTCTCATCTCGAGTTCGAAGCAAGATCAACCACATCTAAGAAGCGCAAAATGGGGTAGCGCGAAAACAGCGAGGTCGGTTACTAAACAGTGAGGTCGGTTACAAATTTGGTAGGTCAGTCGAAGGTATTCCTGAATCTGTATCCAACCTTCACGATTCTGTATCCACCCATACCAAACAGCGAGCTATGGCACCTATTGAATCGACAAGCTCTCTACTAGTGTAATGGGTATGGTCTATTGGTTGGTAATCGATGTTCTATCTATCTAATCTGTTACATGCTATCTACTAGTTCTCGTCATCGTCGGCGCATTGACTTGTGTTGCTCAGGACTTGTGCACACAGGAAAATGGGTACCGACACAGGAATCACCACCAAAACACTAGGAAATAACTCTGGAGGGATGAATCCGGTAGGAGGATCCATTCTCTTGTTTGTGCGTTGCCGCGTAGTAGCCTCCTCTTGTTGCCATTCAATGACTCGACGACGTTCATGCTGTTGGTAAGGCTGGAGTTAACAGAGCCTCCTCCGCAGTGGTGGCCTCTCCTCTTGTATCCGGAGAGATGGTTCGTTCGTTCGTTCGTTCGTTCGTCCTCGACAATGGTAGTTCATCGGCCGTCAGCAGTGCAGCAGAGAAAACAACAAATTGATATGAGTTTTGTTTTCTGTGCTCAACTGCAGACGACCGGAGACTTACCCTTGTTTCTCAAACTGCACCAATTTGGCCGTCAAGGGCCGAGAACTGACTGCCATCCCATGGTCCATAGGATTCAATGAGGGATGGCTTTCGAATCTACACCGGATACGGTCGGCTTGAGTGAGGCTTGGATAACAGAGATAATAGAGGTGCGATCGATCGATTCGAATATCTAAAACAATCGAATAATTAAAACAACTCACCTGTTGACGGCCGAGCTCGAACTTCTCTCCTGTTTACCATAGAAATCCAATGAGGGAGAGAAGCCAGCACTGTACCTTCAATTAACACTCTTGATAATAGGCTTACCTCGAATCGAATCGTTCGTTCGTTCGATTGGCCGATTGGATAAAGCACTCACCACTGTTGTCGGCCAAGCTTGGATTTACCTCCTGTTTACCATAGGAATACAATGAGGGAGAGAAGTCAGTGCTGCGCCTTCAATAAGAACACTTGATAATAGACTTACCTCGTCGTAATAGTAGCACGATGTACCAGTAGTAGCGATCGGCCACTCCTCCACCATTGTGTTGCTGTTTTTGTTGTGGTTGATCGATTGAGCAAGGAGTGTGGCTGTGTGGCTTTCGAAGAAGAGGGTGGGCAGCCGGGCAGGCTGTTCCATGAAGTCTGTTTGAATCATTTAGTGTGAAAAAAGAGTACTCTCCAATGATACTTCGCAAGACAGGTTCCCCTCCTTCTAAATCCAAATCCACCTTGCAGAACCGAAGCAGCACCACATCCAAATCAAGGGCTTATCATCTCCCCAATCCAAGCTGCTCCTCTTCCAGAACAAAGAATCCACCCTTACACACCGCCAAACCACCATCCAAAGAGAGGCTGCTCCATACAGAGGCAGCCATGAGGTTACCAACCAGGTACCAACACAAGTTGCACCTTGTACATTCAGGTACCCAATAGCTACCCAATCTGTAAGGTATATGTGATCAAACTAAAGGTCAAAACTGTCAGGTAACCTGAGGGATCCTCAATAGGAATGGATGCCCTTTCACAATCAGCATGCTATTTGCTTACCAAAGAGGAGCTTAGGAGCTGAAACTGGAGCAATAGCATACCAATCTAGTACCAAATGGGTATGGAAAAGGCAGGTAAGACCCATCCAGATTCAGAATTACCCCATTATGCGCTTAATAGATGCATCTTGAGATTGATATCACCAAGTTGATCCAAGACTATCAAGTCAAAGTGTATTGAGTTAACCACTGCAACAGAGGAGAGGTGCGAAGAATCAGCCTCTAGCCACACTATCAGAGCATCGAAAAGCCTCTAACAGGAAAGAGGTGCTTGCGCGGGATTCCCATCTTCAAGCGGAAAAATCAAGGTACGACGATCGTCTAACAGTTTCCGGCCGGAACTGTGTACATCTGAAGATACCAGTGAAAAGAGCACGGTGAACTGAACAGGTTACGTGCTGGAATCAAGGAAATCCGTCTGTTATCCAGTGAGTTATCTTCAATCGCGCGAAATCAGGAGTTCGATACGTCACATCACGACGAGCGAAAGTCAACAGTTGCCGATCTACCTATCGACTGTTGTGGACGTTGCAAGGCATCAACACGATAGAGAGGAAGTTGCGCAACTCGACGCCAGAGCTGCGGCTATCCTTGGAAGCGACTAACTCCCGATATTGAGTGAGATAGGTTGATTCGAGTATTTCCTGCTATTGTGACGTGAAACACAAGAATCCCGGTAACAACTCGGAGATCTGAAACTCAACTACAAAGGTGTTCCAGCAACTGTAACTCACTCAGTGCACTCATCTAAGCATACACAAGGCATCTGCAAGAGCAGAGCACCATACGAAAGGCTGCAGAGGAGTTCGCTACTACCCTGAGCCACGAAACGTCCAACCAAAGGACACACGAAGGACAACCACGAGTTCCTCAGGAATTCCGTGAGCTGTCAAAGACAGAGGCTATCCAGCCAACAAAAAGCTTTTACAGGCAACTACAAGAGTAGTGCCCGTCGTGAGATCCTTCCTGCAGGAGTATCCACACAAGAACACAAGCTAGTTCCAAGGAACAAGCAAGCACAAGAGTGCATTACCACAATATTTTTATAGTGATTCAGTACAGTCTCATCTGAGATCAGGATTGGTCTCAAACCCCCAATATGGACGCAGGTACAGGAGTTATGGTACGGTACCAGCGGTACGGCTGTAAAAGGACCGACGGAAGCAGCGAGACTCGACTGAGCTCCCACAGTGCTGCAGCTTCCCACGCTCCACGGCAAACACGCGGATACAGGGCGACCCGGAAAGTGACACGAATGGATGATGTAACTTTAGGGTTAGGTTAGGGTTAGGGTTAAGGTCCAGTCGAATTCGAATATGATGCAATAGTGCTGTCTGGTTATCCAGTGTAGATTGTTGCCCCCCAACCGCAGAACATATTTTCTTACATT